ATCCGAGGTATCATTGGAAATGAATCTCTGATTGTTGAAGCATTAAAGTAATTTTTTATTGCTAAAAAAAAAAATTTTTTCAAGTTGATGTACCAACGCTATAACAATAAAACAAGTCAAGTTAGATTTTATACGTCTTACGAAAAATCGTCTGCAACAAAATAAATATAAAGACATGGAAAAAAAAGCATATCGCAATCTCTGATCTCCAAATGACTCGGTGACTTTATATTGTCGACTCATCTACTGAAGAATCTACATTATTATACGATACGTATACATGGATGTATACAAACCACTTTCTCCGAATCCAGTCAGACTGGAATATCTTTCACTTATTTATATTGATGCCGATTACTCATCCAACAGTTGAATGAGAAACATCAAAAATAAACATACGTTTAATAGTAGGAGCTAGTATATTACCTAATAAATTTAATTAACACATTAAGACTGCAATTTTCGATTTATAAATCATCACATTACTATTTAATGACTGTCATTTTATTGTATGCTTTTGATTATTTAACAACCTTGACCATGAAATGATTTTTATCATAGTCAACCTTAAGGATAATCGAATTTAAAACTTTCTTTTAATTGATTCACGATAAACAACGTGATTTCATGTTGTCACTAGTCATTAAACTGGCTTTATTATCCAATGAAAATTCAGCAAGACACTGAGTAAAAACCGGATATACGGGCTATTTATCACTTGGACATTACCCCACAATCTTAAGTTATCTTTCAATTTAATCGATCACTTTACACACGTTCATTTCAAATTCTAACATGTGCTAATGAACTTTGAGATCTTTATCTGGTTTAATGATTAATATATAATTATTCAAGTATGTCGAGAGGAAAAAAATTCATCTTTTATGATTAATTTGTTGATATTTGTTACATTATAGGCTTCGTTCACTTTGAATATATTTTATTTTGTTGGTATAATTATTTTTTTATACTGCTTACCAAAGGAATTAATTTTAGTAATTAAAAAGTTTTATGAAATCGTATGGGGAATTTTTTTAATCGCACCTTTTTTATTTGCATGCTAAGAGAAAGATGAAGTTTAGTTGCAAATTATTTAATTGGAAAGTTTTATTACTTTTTTTTTGTTTTGTAAAAGATTTTTTTGAATTAAATTTAAATATATTTTCATTTATTCTTTGATAAAAAAATTATTTAAAAATGATGTTTACAATTGATTATAAATTATAGTAGGGATACTTACCATTATATTACCGAGAAAAAATATTTACAAGATAAAAAATGATTTAATTAATAAGAATGTTAATTGTTTAATTGATTAAAAATGATAATTAAGACATTTCTTATTGATTAAGCATTCTTTGGCGTCATAATGAATGAGAATTTTTGCACGAACTGTAAGTAAAAAATGATGAGTTTATTTTTTTAATAACATAAGTAAAAATTTTTTTATCTAACAATGCATTTTAAGTTGTAAGTAATTTTTTTATTACTCATAAGAACTCAAAATTTACTGTTAGATAGAAATAATTTTACTTTAAACTTTGAAACATGTACATGTCATTTTTTGCACTTACATTTAGTAAAAAAGTTCTCTCTGTGAAAGTTTATTTAGAAAAGTGGAGTTTAAATAAAACTTATTATTTATTAAGACTTCTTCAAAGCAAATATTCCAACTCTCTATGAAAAAATTTCCATTCAATTTTATAGCAAATATAATATTTTATTGTCACTTTAACGAATAAAAGTAATCAATAAAACCGTCTACTGTAAGAATTAATTATTCCTCTTCACAACCACCGAGAGGAAAGTCTTTCTCTACATCTCAAAAAATTGCGCAATCACTTTGCAAAGAGGATCCACGATTCTCCGGTTAAATATTTCCAACCGGCTTTTTCCTGCCTCCACACTGTGTCACTTTCACCGTACTTTTTTTTCGACGTTAAATATTAGCATAAAAATTGTACTGAACAGGACAAGAAAGAAAAAAAAAATTAGAGGTAAAGAAAGAGTCATAAAAATTTAAGTACACTCGTTGTCACCTAATTGTAGCATACAGACAAAAAGCAATAGCAAAAATTACATACGCGATTATTTTGCGCAATTACTCATTTACTTTCTATATAATGCACAAGGAAAAAGCTTTTGTGATCTCCAACATCATGTGAAAGTGCATTAATTTTCACGATGTGCTAATTACATGAAATAAAATAAATGAAAATATGCAGAAAAAAATTAATTGAAATCCAAGTTGTTAAAAGAAAAAAAGGAATAATAAAAAAAAAGATGAAGGCTTTGAGTAATGATCTAGAACATTGAAGGAATCTTTTTATGATGAATATGTGCACAATATTAATAATAGTAGCGACCTTGCATCTATAATTGATGGATACTAGATCACATTCAGGTGTAGTTTACTTATACAATATACCAATCAACAAGTAACGAACTGCATCCAGGTTAAAAAATGATTCCAAGGATGTTATGTACTTAAGTATAAAATGGTATCAAGGATGGTGTACATGAAACAGAGAGCATTGAAAACGCTGGGAAAATGTTATAAATAAAATCATCACACGATTCCATTGAACCCGTGGTTTCACATTAGAGACGATCAGGTACACGTAGAGAGAAAGTTTACTTTTAGTTGCATTAGATATATATCTATATAACCGCTAATGAAATAAAGACGAACGAGCGAGTGCTTCAGACCCACTGATCATCCCGGAAGTTCCTTGAACATTGTGTAATCCATCAGCAACATTCGATTATCATTGCTAAATTTTCCATTAGCCTAGAAACACGCAACCTTTTTTTTGGAGCATGCGAGTTGTAGGAATTAAAGTTAATCCCTAGAAAATTGAACGGAAAATGATTATCCAATTTTTTTTTTCCTTTAGAATAAATTAGATGATTTGCTAATAAAATTGCATGAAAAATTGGTACTTAATTTTTTTTTAAAGAGAAATTGATTGATTAAAGAATATATTTCAATTCAATATTGAAAGCGTTAAGGTAATTATTTAAATCATAGTACAATATTGGGTAAAATAAGAATAAGATTAGAAACAGGGTTAACAATTACGGCTGCGCATGCGCATTAATCAATTCTTCCATTATCATGCTTGTGCGCATGCGTAGCCGTAATATTTAGTCCTATTGTTATTTTATTCAATTGTCTGAAGACGTTAAATGAAAAACAAGAGTAAGGCCATTATTGTTCATAAAAATTTGTTGTTAGAATGAAATATTTAACCAAAACTAATGATGTTTCCAAGCCAGAAGACACCTTATGTATTGTATTAACCAAAAATTTCCCATTCTCATTAAAGTTCAAATTACTTACCCATGATTTCCATATTATTCATTTTAATTATGGGAATATATGCATCTCATTATTTTTTATTCTTCACATCATATTTCGACTACTTAAAAAAAAGAAATTTTAGAAACTTAAACATAAATTAGATCCATTTTAAATAATCAGAGAAAATATGAGATTAGAATATGGCCATAATTCACATCAAACAAATTTCGCAACTCTTCGATTATTTCCGTCAAAATTCCGTCATCACAACGTGTAATTCCAACCTCTAAAGCATCATAAGATCCTAATAAATATAAATAATAATTAAAAATTTATTTATTTCAATTCCTGTTCTCCTTTCTCATTCATTTTTTTTTAACAGTCAAGCAAAACTTCACTTCTCATTATGTTTTATCGATTGGAAATTTACTTCCTCCATAACATGCATGATATTATGAAGGAAGCCATTATTTAACGATAATATAATTGAATGACAAATGAGACATAAAATATTTTATGTGAATACATACATTTTATTAGTATAATTATTTATATCTCATTTGCATTAGAAGGCATATAATTAGGACAATCAATCCACTAGACAAATGATTTGTTATTTTTCTTGTATCAATTATGAATACCAATTGAATCTATAAATTTGTTCTTTACGTTCGTATACAACTTCCTGTATTACTTATTATATTTTCTTTTCAATCATCATGCTTCTAAGAGTAGCAATAAATAACCCATTACCAATTTGTTTGATCTACGATGAGAGGGGAATAGTGTAGCTCGTGCTTTCAGTAAATATAAAATCCATGTTCTAGAGGCTTGTGAATGCCGCAAGGGATTTTCTTGATATCTCGAAGAATATAACTGCAACTACCGCAGGAAATCACGTTTGCGGTACATCATAATAAACAATAATCATCGTAATGCGTAGTAATTCGTCGGTCTTTGCCCATGTTTGGTACTAGGAAATCATTTCTTTCCAACTTATACAAACTACCAATTATGTTTTCTATTTTTTTCAATAACATTTTTAAATACAATGCTGTAGAAGAATCAAAAAAGAAGTTAAAAAATTATTTTACTCAATTTATTATTTGCTAATTCTTCTACAAGAAAACTTACCTGTAATGAATCTTGCAATTTGTATGTGAGATATCTGATCGTTAAAATAAATGTTTTATTTAATAGAAAAAAACCGATAAGCAATGTAAAAAGACTTCCGGAAGATGTAACAAGTCGTCTTCTTGTAGATAAATAACTTATTTGCTGCCACTAGTGTACCGAAGGAAATAATTTGATGACTTTCTCTACTATTATATAGTTATTTATATATACAGATAAAAAAGTCAAAGCAGAAAACACTAGTAGTTAAAAGAGATTAAATGTATAATTAATTATCGATTGTTGGTTAGAAAACATCGCTAGCCTCAAGCAAATACCACTGTTTACCCATAGGCTATAATCGAAAAATTATTGATGGTTGAAAAAGTACTTCACTTATGCTAAATCTATTTTTAAAGACACCTTTTTACTTAATTATATTCTCGAGAAATGAAATATTTTACGCTACATTGAACTAAACAGACTCTAATATGTAATCAATACCTAAAGAAATTAATTTATTGATAATTAAATAATTAATTATTATTATCATAGTTGATACTAATTTATTTTTTATTTATAGACACTGGAGCTGTGGTACCTGGTAGTGATGCTGATCATGAAGTAAGTTTCTTAGATAGTTGATTTTTATATTCACTTATTCTACTTAATCCTTGGAACCCGTGCTATTGATGGATAACATTAACCTTGTTTGCACGTTTTGAATAAATAAATCGATTAATGTTCAACAGACTTTTAATTTTCGTCCTCTTTCAAAGCATATTGATTGGACTAGGCTGGTATATCCAGCAATGAGGTCCTAGGGTTGATTCCGTAGACATCTAATTGTCATAAAACTAAGAATGTAACTTACCTTTGCTTCCAGGACCTTGAAGCAGCAGCATCAGAAACTGGTGTGAACAAAGAGTACGAAGAAGATGATGATACCGACATGTTTATGGAGCCAGATGGTGCTGAAACAACAAATGTACAAGTGAAAAAAAATGCAGAAGTTAAAACAGAAAGCACAGTTGTTCCAACCAAGGAAGAGACCAGGATGACTGTGAGTGTCTCCAGCAAACCAGCCAAGAAGGAAGAGGAAGAAGAGGAGGCAAGTGTTGAAGAGGATAAGAGTTTGGAGCAAGAAAGTCAGAACTTTTTCCCATCATTTGCTGAACTGATAGCCAATCATAGATTATTGTACAACGACCAACAACAACGGTACAGGCCTAATCGATTCCTAGGAGGTTATTTCCAACGGGATCGTAGTGCTCCATACCAAGCAGCATCATCATCAACCAAGGATACTCAACATTCTTTACTTGGCTCTGGTAATTTCGGGGTTATCCGAGGTGGCACCTACTATTCAGAAGATAAAGAAAGTGAAAGTGATTATTCCATTGATGATTCAAGTATTTACAATCCATATTATTCAGCAAGTGTTGGCAGGGCTCGTGCTAATAATTACTACAAAAATCCTAAACCACAATCAATTCGTAGTAATGCTGATTTCTTTGCTAATTTCCGTGATTTTGCAGACATCACAGCACCACCCAAGTCCAGCTTCTCCCATCTCTCCATTGTCTATGCCAACAGAAATAGCACCAAGGAAGCTGCTACCGAGCCAAGGAATATCATTGAGACCTTGAGGATGTTAGAACAGCAAGAAGATGATGGCTTTATGGATCTTACCACAACCACAGAGATCCCAGAGAAGAAATTAAGCAAAGGAAAGAGAAAATTATTGAAGATGAAGAAGTATCATGAAGATAAGACCAGGAAATTTCGTATTAATGCTGAACCCTTGCTTGCTTTGAGTTGAATATGTTTCATTTTAAAATGTAAGAAAATCATGTAACCTTTATAAACATAAAATGTCATATGAAAGTGTGCTATGTTGTATCGAGTGCAGTGTGAGAGTGCTTAGGGACAAATAATTCCCAGCTGTCAAATCTGGCCTCGAGAAATATCAGAACCAAAGTTGAAAATGGTATTTTTTCGGACGTGTATGTTTAAGAGCACCTCGAAGATATGTATTAAATTAATACTTAATTCGTTCATCCATGCATGTTGTTAGTCTTAATAACAATTTGCACGACTTGATATTTTGTAAAAAAAAAAAAAATCATTCAACCTTATTTGTACTATATAGTTCCATGAGATAAAATAATTATTACTCATTTCCTATGCATAATAGTCTAGATATTTTTCGCTAAAGGATAAAATTTAAAACTGTTTTACAGTTACATACTATTTATAAGTCATTGATAAATGTGTGTTTTATACTCATGACGTTAAAATTGACAACATTTAAATTCTACTCTATTGTTATATATATATATTTTACTTGTTGTTGACTGTTGTAATTTTAATTTTAGTTATAAATATTAATTAGACTTAATGCGATTTATATTTTTAATGTAATCGATGTAATAAAAAAAAATGTAGACAATTTAAAACATCATTTTCTTTTTTTTTAATTGTTACATAAAACTATTCTAATAATAGTCATTCAGTATCTGTGAAATTGAGTTTCAACTACGAGAAATGCACAGAAAATTTGAAAAAAGATATATCCACTAGTCGCTTCTTTAACATCAGTCGATCATCAAGATCTCTATGTTATCGACCGCCGAGGTTCTCATCCGCTCAACAGTCGGTAAAACAGTCGTATATTTTCTCATTTTTGCCACTGATGGAGCTGCTATGCCGGGATGAATTGAATTAAAGAATTCGTTATTTATCTAATTGACTAGGAATCAATTTTAAAAGCATGTAATGAAATAGATTTATTGTAAAAAGGTAGATAAAATGGTTAAATTTATTTGAAAGTGATATTACTGAATATTATTAGAGAATGTTAAAATACTGATTGATTAATTAAGTGTGTAATTTATTTTAGTGAAGTTAAGTGAACGGTAAATTAATTACTTCAAAGGCTTTGAGAATTATTTAAATAATGAGATGATAGTGGAGACAATTTTTTAAAGGCAACGCATAGCAATGTGAGAGAAAGAAGAAATTTATATCAAAACCACCTCAGGGGTTTTATATTTTCCTATCATATAGCTTATTATATTTTCAATTTATTTCAATGTAAAACTAAAATATACCAAGTGATATATAACAGTGATAAATAGAATTTTAAAGAAAACTTTATTGAATATTCCGAGAATTATTCTCTCAGAGAAGTTGAATGGCTTATGGTTGTTGTTAACATCCATTTTTCGTAAGATGTTGAAGTTTACAATAGCCAAGATGGATATATTTGTTTAATGTTTGAAGTTTAGAGTACACTAGCAGATAGAAATATTCTTACGTGGTCATACCTTGACATCTACATGTATGAAGTATAACTATATGTACAGAAGTGCAGTAGTGAGAACAAGTAGGGGCGGCTTATATGAATGTTAAAATAAGTTTGAAATTGTCGCGGACAAGTTTGGCCCCAAGGGAAGTACCCAAGAGTCGAGTAATTCCGCAAAGCTAGCAGTTTCGGCCCTTTGGCGCACAGTGAGTAGTTGGCATCGACGCGAATTCTCGACTTTCTCATATCTACAACCTATCTAAGACTACTGTGGGTTCTGATGCCGTACTGTCTTTGTAGTGGGAACCAGAAGTTTCTCGTTACGTTTCCGAGAATACTGAGGTATGTAAACCTATTTTTTATTTATTTAAAAAATAATTAATCTAAGCATCTTTATTTAAAATGGCAGCCATTTTGTGTTGAATTCTTTATTAATAATCTTCTTTGATAAAGACAAAATGGGGGTGGGGTACTCAAATCGAATGGAGGTGTAATTAGTACTCAGTAAATGTATTTATATACTAAAACCATAGCGGCCTCTACTGGCATCAACAAAGTCTATTTTTCTTGGAAAAAAAGAGACTTTCCTCGCGTTAAAAAGCTGCATTTATTTGCAAACTTTTTTTCATAGTCGTAATTTTATCGTGAAAGTAATTCTAGAATACTTAAGAAAAAAATACAAAATATTTACGAAAATACTTAAAAATGTTCACACTCACCTAATTTCTGTTATTCTGTAAAATTCTTCTGTTTTCCGCCAAATATCCTCCATTTGCTTGCACTCCGACATAACACTGAAGTTAGACGCGTATCGTAAACAACATAATGGCGGTATGTTGGGACTATGTACATTTGAACTATCTTAACCTAAAAAAATTTTACATTCAATAGTAAACCTATAAAACTTACCTCTCGGCCATTGTATCTTTATATTCTCCAATTAATTAATAATTTAGAGGTTATACATACGATTTCCCTATACCCTCCTATACAGAATAACACAGCATTGATGTCTGGTACTGTAAGTATTAAAATAACGAAGATTAATTGATAGAAAAGCATTCTAACCATCATAATGTAAAATAATCATGTCTGTTTTAATTATTTAATTATATATGTGAAGTACTCCACCTACGTGAAGTACGTAGGTTTATATAAACACACATGAGGATGTGTATATATATATAGGTTATATCCAAAGAGATATTGAGAAGAAGATAGCGAGAATACCTAGTTTTGATTCACCTCGCGCGGCAGCCTACCGGTCACAAGTCTGACGGCGCGTAATTGTTCTCTTGTCTGGGGTTGTTCTCTTCTCACACTTGGCATTCGTTTCCGACTACCTAACAGCCAACTCTCCCGCTCCTATACCTTCGACGATTGTCTTCGCGCTTCGAATACATAAGCAGCTTTCTGCTACGTTGTATTTGTACCAATAATCCGCAATGCTGTGAAGCTTCTTACAAAGTATCTATGGTTCTTTATTCATATTTCTACAAGCTTTAGAATTTTATAGAGCCTTTGTAAAAGTATTCGTACACTGAAGGCTGGGCTCTACTAACCTCAAATCACCTCGAATTATTATTAGCGAATTATAAACTATTCATTTGTTTTTATCACGTAACCATTGTTTAGATATCTGAACAAAAGTGGCATACAGGTTGGGAAATAAAGTTTCATAGTAAAAGTAAAGTAGTTATTGCATAATAAATCATTTTTCACTGATCAGCTGATGACAAATACGTCCGCCATGACACTTCAGAATTCTATGAGTATAGATTTATTTTTTTTTATTTTTTTAACTGTTATAAATGAATTATATCAACAATATTCGTTTTTTTTACCCAAAAAAATAAGCTCAGCTTTCAATTAAAACCTGAATTGAGACAAAAAATCCATTTTTGATGACCCGAGAAGTTTGGCTGTACTAATTTGTTTAACAGCTTCCACTGGATTGGAACTGTCGAAGTGAATTAACAGATGCCGATTAAAAAAAAGAATATTACAGTTATTTGTGGAATGACATAAATAACAAGTAAATAGAATATAATGACATATCTAGCACGTGAAGAGATTTTATGTACAGCATGATGAAGAGTAGAAATGACGAGGTATGGTGGTGGTGGTGGTAGGTAGGTGACAGTCGACACAATGTCGCGGGGTTGTGCAGTAGGATCGCGGGACGATGAGAAACGTTGGCATTCACGGGGGAGACGACCCGCGGTAAATGCGATGTGATGCGAGTAACTGAGTGACTAATTGAATGAGGTGTCTCCCAGGAGCAGCAATCCCGTCACACGTCAGAACTACTGTGCCTACGGGACTTGCGCGCGCGCTATTTTCTCCTCTGATTCAACTACTATCTGATATATAGCCTCATATTCATCCACATATTGTTATACATATTTCAATCATTTTACATCAGCTTGATTGTCAATCATGATCTTGATGGATTTATTTTTATAATGGCATTAAAAATTGCGGTGATTATTGAATAATTATACACAGCTGAATTTAATTATTCTAGGGATTTTTATGGAATTAAATTAGTTAGGGAATTGTTTTAAAAATATTTAATACGTTGGGTAGATATTTGATGGAGTTTTGCTTTTGCTTCAGTGTAACTAAACCTGACACAGCAATGAGTTCGAGAATTTCAGCGAAATGATTTTTCTTGGAGGAAAAAAAAAGAGGGGAAATAAAAAAGTGAGAAGAGTAAAAATGAGTACGAGTGAGAGAAGCTTGTATTCCTTCGGGAACAAAGTCGAATAGCTATCAGAGGTGGGAGTAGGGAAGTCTAACCCTGCGCGAATAATTTTTTTTTCTTTCACGATTTCATTCTCTACTCTACCACTTTTCAGCTGTAATCCACCAGTGTTGTCACACTTTCTTTATCACACTTTTCATATCTCACCATCATACACCTGCCTCTGCTTTTGTGAGATATACGCCCAATCAATGATTGCTTCCATACTCAAACTATTTTTTAACGTTTTTTCGATTGCTAGGGACTTTTTTCTACTAAAAAATTTTTAAGATAATTCCTGGAGTTTTTTTTTGTTTTGTTTAGAAATCAACAAAATTTTACAATATGTTGCAAATTTTTTTTAGGATTAAAAAAATTCCTAGAATTCAGCAAAAATCCCTGGTAAATTTTTTTTTAATTTCTTAAAAAAAAAACTTTGATGTTTCTAGGGTTTGCAAAGTTTCTTAGAACATTTCATAAAAATTACAAGTATCTGAAAAACCTCTAGAATTTTTGTACAAAATAACTAGCATTTAAAAAATGCCTAAAAATTTTTTTTCGATATTCGTAATATTCAAAAAGTCCCCAGAATTTCTATACGAAATAACTAGTATTTCAAAAATCCCTAGAATGTTTTTTAAATATTCTTAGCATTGAAAAAATCCCTATAGTTTTTTTCACAAGTTACTAGCATTTGAAAAAACTCTAGAACCTTCGTGAAAAATTACTGGCTATTAAAAAGTCCCTAGATTTTCCGGCAAAAAATCACTAGCATTCGAAAAATCCTTAGAAAAGTTTTAAAAATTACTAGAATTAAAACAAAATAGTAGTTCTAACAATAATTATTGTTAGTCAATGAAATTGAAGCATAATTAATGAATTTAAATTCAAGAAAACTTATATTGCTAAGAAGTCAGAGCAGAATAAATGTGTCTAGAATAATTGATAAGATAAATAGACAATTTCTTGGCGTAAAATAAGTCAAGAACTGTGACATGTATTTCACACTCACGCAAGTCTGACAAACAACTCCAACAGAATGACATATCTAATTAATTAGCTCCATAGACAATGCACGAAGACGTCGTTTGTTTCTATAATGACTTAGCGAGGTATAGTCACGTTTATGCCTCAAGATCTGTTGGTATTACGGAGATTAATTCAAGTTGTCGACGAGTAGTGAGAAGTTTAAGTGTATTTGCGTTGTCGCTGGATTTTTACATAGAAAACCCCCGAAGCTACTGTTATTAAAATCTCCGTAA